GTTTCTTAATATGCATACATTGATAAGTGTGTGGTTGTGTGCTTGTGTTAGTATATATTACCCAATTAGCTAGTGAAAGTTTGGGGGTGATATAGCGGTTCTCATCTAGAATTAGGGTATTGATGTCTATGCTATCTACTATCAAATAAAGAAAGGCATAATTTTGTCCAATATTATATTTCCTCCCAAATTGAAAGCGATTCTCACCTCTCTTAGATATTCATGGGACTTATATTCGTTTAGATTAGGATTCGAAAATATCGTACGGAACTCTTATTCATACAATTCCAATCCATATCCTAATATACGACGTTCGAGTGAGCACAAATATCTTTTCATTGCTTCAGCTCAGCTGGCACTAGCCAGTTGGTTTCATATCGAATCTAGTAGAATACAGGATTTAGAAACAAACACTTCAAAATTAGTTCGAGATGCCAACTTAGATAAATTACTTTGAAGCTTAATTTGAGGGTTTTCTCTTGCTAGTTCTAGACTATCTGACCCTAAAAATTGTAGTCAAATATTCAATAAATCACTTGGGCATAGTAATACTGTCAATGCCGGGGTGATATTTGCTTGGCGATCCAACTTCTATACTAATAACATAATTAATAAAGTTTTATTTTTTATGTAAGTTTAGATAGTAATAGTAATTTTTGAATTAGCATTTAGTCATCCTAGGTCGAGTAAGGTGATTTAACAACTGATAGTTGAGTTATTCCATACTGGTATGAATTGCCACAATTCTACTATCCGGTATTGAATTCATTTGTTGTTGCTGACGATCCCTAGGGAAGGTCTAACCTTTGGGTCTATAGTCTATAGACATTCTTGAAAGGTAATGCTATATTACATTCAATATCATCGTGAGGCTTACTCATATCAGTGTGCGATAAGCCAATGCTTAGTTCTTAAATCATTTTAAGCTACCTAGGATAATCAAGTTCTTTTCAAGGAATTGCTAATAATTTGAGACATACTCATAGTTAAAATAAGCAACGTCATCGAGTTTAATGGCAAAAATATACTTGCCACACCCAAAATGCACTAGGAATTTGGATGGGACCTGGTTAGCCTCAAATTTAACATCTACTCTGTGATCCACTGGTACCTATTGCTGTACAGTCGATTGGGGACATCGCAACGGGGGTAATGACCCGGTATCGGATCCGTTTGGACTTGCCCCCTTCTTCGACCTAAGGAGGGTCTAAATTGCAGTCCACACTGGAGGAAAGAACCTTTTGGAAGGCAAGTCTAGGCGAAGTTCAATGGAATTTTTAACCCGATTAACATAAATGAGAGAAAATTTCAACCATCAAAGTAGACGACCTAGGGCGACTTAGCACTTACCCATAAATAATCGAGTCTGCCTAGACTTGAAAGCTCATCAACACTGAAAACATGCTATATATGACAAAATACTTATTTCCTGGCCTAAATGTCGTGTGCTCGAATTATCTTCGAAGTACTGCCTAGGCCAAGGTTATATAGAATTCTGAGTTCATCTCGAGTTCAAGCTACATTATAATACTAAAAGGGATCATTGCTTCTATATTAATTCTCAAGTTTGCAGGTAGGTTGCCGAATATCAAGGGCTTACTGCCGATTATTTAAGCGGTTTCAATAGAAGTAGTGATATCATCTTTTAAATCTTAACTGGTATTTGGAATCTGCCTTTATCTTCAGGGCGCTGGTTGCTTTTCCAGACATGTTTACACTTCAGATGCCTGATAAATCATTTCGTCTAACAGTCTATGCTTTTGCCTTATTCCAAGCTTTGTGGTACGTTTCAACAATTTAAGACTTGCATATCTGCGCAAGAACAATACAGATAACCTTGCTGTCTCGGTATCTCTAAAATGCTATCAACTGATATATAATTATAGGCTTAATTATGAATACAAAGAATAACCCGGACAAGTTTTCTACGCTATCATATCCTCATAATATGCTGAGAAATACCTCAGAATTGAACTCTGGTCGGCTCTCATGAATAAAATGCCCAATGGGATAAGCTTGCTAATAGTAATCTTAGAAACCTAAAGGATGTAAAAGAGAGACTGCATTAAAAGGATGCTGAGTCTCGAGAGTTGCTTAATCATTCTCTTTCTTTTATCAAGGAGAAGTAAAAATTTCAAATTGAAAGCGCTGTATACCAAATGGGTGTCACCTATTTTGAATACCAAATAAACTGCGAAATAATTGGGAAATTCACCATTTTGATTTGGAGACGAAACAATAATGAATGCTATGGGGGCGTGCAATCCTCTCACATCCTAAAAGATGTAGTGTTTTGAAATCTGTATAGGAAGATGAAGTTATTAATTTCACACTTTTGGAGACGCAAGGACTGGTGATGGTGATACCTATCTAAAGTAATGCAAAAATTATAAGGATCATGACAGCTTTCTTGCAACATGGTCGCATTTCCAGGTGGATTTTGAAAAGTAAACCTCGGATATCTTCATCTTTCATTGTCATTCGCTATCCCCAAAGCAACTTACTTTTAACCAGGGATATTTCCCAAAATTTTACCAGCATGGTAGCTGGCAGTGTTAGAAAAATGAGTTAGACTTAGCATCAAACTTTAGAATTTCAGCATGACAGGTGACACATTGCTGATAGCGAAAGGTCCTGAAACGAACCTGGTCTAAAGAAGGATCTCTGAAGCTTACATGACAAATATGGCAGATAATGCGGTTGGTGATGCATTCTTCGAAGTTTCCTTTATAACAATCGTGACTTACTAAATTTAGGTAAACAACAAAAGAAGACTGAAAACAAGCAGCCACTCCATCATAGTCTTCCTACATATGATTTAAGCAAATATTTCTGCAGTTATCATGTACATACTGAAAATTTTCAGGAGTTGTAAGAGCTATAGGAAAAGAGGCGAAAATAGGCATCTTCTTGGTATGAAAGCCCAGAAAATGTAGGCCTGCTGCCATTTTTCATTGTTTTGGTCATAGTTCCTTTTTAGTAGGCCACAAATACCTGCTAGGCATTGGACACTAATTGACAATAAATAACTAAATCCTGTTGTATATTCTTATAGTTGCTTACTAAGACCCATGACTTATAATCAGAACAATACAAATTGGAAGCAGGCCCTTATATTTCGCACTGCACACTACAGTTTTGTCAGGCACTGCGCTCTCCTCCGGCAAACCTCACGGCCAGTAGAGCGAACAGGATAACATACTAGTTCTATTGCAAGAAATGGACTCCCAGATTACCATATCAAAATTGACAAGTAACACCTACTTTCCGGGTACATTAATTTTATATACATTTGAGTACAATGGATGGACAAGCGAGAACTACTCAAATAATTAAAGAAAACAAACTTCTTTGTTCTCGAGTGCGTAGTGCTTCTGCCTAATCGACTCTGTATATTCTTTAAAGTAATTGCCTCACTCCTGAGCTGATGACCAGGTGAAAAATGAAGGATAAGTAATTGAATAAATTCACTTAAAGACAATCATGCAATCATATGTGAATGGCTTTTGAAATGTAGATATTTAAATTTGGAAAAAATTGAGTTCACAATAACTAAGGATAGGATGCTATGAAGGAAATATTTTTAAATAAGTTCACTGAAAAGCATTTGTGAAAGAGTCAGCCCCACTGACCAATATTCCGAACTCGTCTTTATTATCTGCTGACACACTCCCTCATTATGGAAGCTATTAATTTCAACCTCGAGAATGGGATACTCCAAAAATTTGACTAATCTGTATGAAGATAATTTCAATCTATGGTTAAAGATAATCTTGCCTCCAAGCTCATAACATTTCGATAAATATTAGTAGGTATTTAATAAATTATTTTTTATCCGAGCATTTTCAGAGCCATTCTTATTTCACAAATGCCTGAAATTGCAGTAGCTTATTCCGACTAAATCTTTAGTGTAGGGCAGTTTTCATGCTTTTGTAGCCTGATTTTGAAGATGATAAGCCCAGGTGTTCAAGTCGCAAATACTATTTAAGTGTAACGTGCCTGATGGAGATTAACTTAAGCGTTGGATGAGATGAAAAAATTGCAACCACATTGGATGGAAAGAATGTTTTTTTTGGCTTCATGCAAAGATAGCATGAGCATGTATAAGGCAATAGCCAATTAACCTAATTTACCAAAAAAAGTGTCTCAACTCTTAAATATTGGACTCATACCTTGTGTTAAAATGAAAACACGTTTGTTATGAGTAGGTTTAGATTTATTATACAAGTTTATGTGCAAAATATCCACACGGAATGACTAAATTATGCTGAATCCATACTGAGTGCCCTACTAAAGTAATCAAAATACGTGTACATAAATTATGAATTTGTCACCTACAAACTTATATTCAGCTTCTAATAGAGTAGTAAATGGAAGTTAATATATTTCATTACAATACTCTCACTGTCTACGTTTAGTAAGCTAAAATGAATAAGTGAAGAATACATTATAATGCTTTAATAAATTTTAAAGTCCTCAAACATTACATATATGACTGTATCCTCAATTTGGAGATGGCGACGGCTATTCTATTTTTATTTCAAAGCAGATCTATGAAATCCTCTCCTTATTATGTGTGAATCGACAAAGTTCGGTGGATGTCTCTAGTTTTCATAGTGGATATTAGTAAATTGCGTAATTTTATTAGACCACGGTCAAATTTATGGATAAATAAATTGTGTATTCTCTTGGAAATAAATCAGTATATTTCAGATTCTCCACTTTCTTATTGCTCGCCTGATAGATGAGCTTTACGCTTTCCCATATATCGTCTGTGCCTTAAATATGTGGATATTTAATTAAGTTTATGAGATAAAGGTAAGTTATTGATATGCCCAGAAACTTATCACTCTTCATTTTACCTATATTTTTTTAAATTGACAGGAAGCTATGCGACTTAATGACTTTTCACTTAAAACATTACATCTTTAGAGACTCAAACAAATATCCTGGCTACCGTGCGCTTCATTTGTACCAGCGCTTTCATGATTATCATTATTTCCCACAGTTTAGCCGGCCTACTCTGCTTCATCATTGCCTGCTTGCCACCTAAAGTATTGGCCAACTATAAGGTAATCGCTAGCTTTGCTGGCCTTTTTGGTGCCTTTACCGCACCTCTTCTGGCACTCATCTCTCATTCTCTCATTGAATGCGTTGGATTGAACGATTTTGCAGACGCTCTTGCCATCTCCATGTTCTCCAACGGGCTAAGCATGTGCATTGGCGGCCCTTTCTCAGGTACACAATTGGCCATTGCTTGGGAACATTTAAGAGCATACCTGTGAATATATTCAGCAACTTGCTAAGCTAAATGATTTCAGACTAAACTAATTTTAATCGCATTTCGCTGCTTTAATATTGCTTTAGGTGGAATAATCGCTATGAGAAAAGTTAACATGTGCAGAAACGATACTCATTTACTAATAAAGAAAAGCTTCAATTTGGCTATGTTCCCATATGGGGCAGATAGTTAGTGGGTTTGTAGAAATAATTAATGCATCTTAGCTAGTAACTTAACAGGCGTGAAGGAAGATGGGAATTGGTGGTTCCCCACTTGTAGTGAAGCTTGAATATACACAAAATACTAATAATTTAATAGGACTGGGGTCGGCTATCAACAATAACTATTCCTGAAGGTGGTTCTACCTATCATGCAAGGAAAACAGAAAAGATAGCAGAGATTACTGAAAGGTGAGCTTTTAACATGGGTTATAGTGCATTTGTCAAATAATAACACAAAACAGCCGGTGGCGGTGAGCCATGAGAGACAAATAGGAAAGGAAAAGGTTGTAAATCATCTCATTGCGATTTTTCGCTGAGATGAAGCAGCTTGTGCGAAAAATGCTTCATTTGTGGGATATGTCGATAAAGACGTAATATTGGAGTTATTAATGAATCTCGAATGCGAGAGATATGCTAGTGGGTTTTTGTTGTAAATGGACTTGCTGGCTGTCTTTCTCGTGCTGATTTTAGTGCAGGTTTTACTTTGCAATTCAATTCTGGTCTGTTAAAAATGGCCCCGGGCACTTGTATCCCTCTGGAATATGATTCTACATGAGCTAAAGTGGCGTACAATGTGCCTATTTATTAATCCAATGGAGTAACCCAGTCAATTGAAGAAGGGGGCAGAGTTACTGTCATAAATCAATAAAAGGTAATCCTGAATGGGCTGAGCACGGCAAGAGGACATTAAGACGGAAAGAGTAAAGCTCGTACAGAGGCCGCTGTTGCTTGAAACTTTACGTAAAAATAAGCAAGCAGGAGGCTTCACGCATGTAGTGAACCAAGATTGTGTGATCGGATTGCCTGGCTGACTTTTACACAACCAACTCGTCATCAAGTTTGGTTTGTAATCGACAGCCACTGCTGTTCGGACGAATGTGATTAGGGTCAACTCAAGGTTTTTTAACTTATTTATTGTGATACAGGAAAATGAATTTGCTCACTATTCCACAGCATTAGGGTTGATCACGACCTCGATCCCATCGAGCTGTCCTTCAAGTTGCATTTGAACTATTTTTCATATTTTTGCTAAAAAATTGACCAAATAATGATTGATACCTAGTTTTCTAGGCTAGTTACTTCTACAAAGTATACGTTTAATGCAAATTATGGCCCATTTTTATGGATTGAAGACTTTTTGCATAGCCCATGGCGAAACCGTTCACTTTTTCGTCTTTCCTTTATACTTATATATATCTAAAGCGGCTCTCCTCTCATGGACCGGTTCGTATGGCTATTTCTTCCCTATGTCCGGAATATTCCTCCTCCTTTCATCACTTCTGAAGATATTCTGCTTGGCCAGAATTGCCTATCTCGAGATGCAGACTCGGCAAATGGTCATAACTACTCTCCTTTGAAGTTATTTATCATCTCTTACTGAGAGAAATTTCAGACTTAGAGACATGCCAAACGAGGAGTCTACGTCAGCATGAGCCAAAGTGGTTTTTATCTTCTCGCTCCAGTAACACTTGGAGGTCAGCTGTAATCTTGCTTCACCTTATTTCAGACTATTTATTTTACCTGGCCCATTACAAACTAACCGAACTGCTCATTTAGAGCTTTTTGCATTTTAAACAAAGCATCATTGTAACTTGAGCTTATCCAGGCTACAGAATTTTTTAAAATGATCTCTCATTCATGAATCTATGCAACGGTTTCTAAGTATTGTGAAGACCATTGAGTTGACGTGTTTCTTTCAGTAGTTGGCGTCCTCATAAAATTCAAGATTTATCTAAATTCAAGCGCTTTCTTTTACTTA